CACGTTCCCAATCTTGCAGGAAGTGGAAGTAGCAGAGCAGGTATCCTTCGGCATGCCCGGTGGACACCAGCTGGTCCACCGCTGCAATCTCCGTCTTCGACTTGTCGATCATGATAGACTTGTACTTGAAGGTGCCATCCCCTGCCGCCTGTGCCTGCTCATTGGTGGTTTGGGAGGCGGGGGTGACAGCATGAGGCAGCAGCAGGGCAGGCAGCGGGGCTGGCAGCGGACTGGTGCCTGCCCAGCGCATCCCTCTATCCTCTGGCACTCACCCCTTCCATCGATGTGCGCAGGAAGTGCTCCACCACCTCCGCCGTATCCGAGCTGCACACCATGAAGCTGACCGGCACCCCGCGCCCGCTCTCATCTTGCACCTGCAAGTACCAGGATCAGGTGAGGGTGCTACAGCCCTGGTGCGCGCCGGTGTGGCTGCATACTCAACCCAGCCTGGCTGCTAGGCTGCTAGGCTGCAGGCTCACCACCAACGCGTAGAGTGGGTAGCCGTATTTGTTGACGCCAAACGTGGCGTCCATGAACACCAGCCGCCGCCCAAACTGGTCCAGCATGCGCGCCTGGAAGGACACTTGCATCACAATCACCAGCGGCTGCTCCCCGCTGCGCCTGCCAGCCTGTTTGTAGGGCTGGTAGAACAACACAGAGCCCTCCCTTCTCAGCTCATCAATCAGAACCGCCATCGCCTGCACGTCGCTGGTGAGGCCCAAGCCTTCAGCACGCCGCAGCTTCTTTATCAGCACATAGATCTGCCGCGGGATGATGCTAACACGGGCGCTGCTGAAGTGCTGCAGCCCAGTAGTCCCGCCCCCGAGGCCCAGCGGGTCGGCCGGATCATGCACCATGTTGTTCAGCCGTGTGCAGATGGACGTGGGCGTGGCGCCACTCTCGATCATCACGGTGGCCATCGCCTCCAGGCGGGGGTGCATGCGGAGCTGGGCCTGGCTGTCGGCGCTGGTGGGGTCATGGAACTGGTGGGGCGCTGTTTGCCACACGCTCACCACCTCGCTGCCAGCCGGATGCCGCAACTCCAGCGTGTACGGGCAGCTGCACTTGGATGCATGGGAGCAGACATACTTGAGCGTCCACTTGCCCGCCGCTTTCTTCTGCAGGCCGCTCCGGATGGTGCCAACATCATCAGCCGTTGCCGTTGACACACCAGCACCGGGCTGCCCAGCAACGTCGAGGGCTGCATCCAGGTATGGAAAGTGGCGGTATGTTTGGGCTGGGGCATGGCGGGGAGAGTAAGAGACACTGGTACAGCTTGTTGTCCTCCGGCCCCCACAGCCCTGGACAAGGAGGCGCACCTGGAACTGCATAGTGTAGAGCCCGCACCTCAGCATCAGCAAGCCCTTGCACAGGACGCGTGCCGAGGAACACCTCTTCCAGCAGCGCCGAGTCGGGCTTCACTCGGCGCAGATCCACAGGTGCGGCCTGGTTGAGCTGGTGATCAGACAGCCAGTCATACACCTCTTTCAGGGGCAGGCCGGTAACAAGCTCCACCGCCTCTGACAGCTGCAGCGTCTTCCCATCAGCTGGCTGCCCCATTGCATGCAGGTAGGCGCCTTTGAAGTTGTGACGGATCTTCTGGCCCTCCAGCTCGCACGTCCACCCATCGCCGCTCTGGGTAGCAGGTGAGGGGGCAGCAGCTGGTTGGCATGACGCAGCAGGAGCTGGTGCGCAGGAGGGGATGCCAGCTGCATTGCTGGCCAAGGCGTAGGGGCAATGGCTGAGCGCAGCAGCGCGCATGAGCCTACCTTTGCAACGATTGTGCCCAGTGCAGGCCTGTGTGTGCCCAGCACCACCTGGATCCGCTGACCTAGTCCAGCTGGCGGGACGCGCTCCTTGTGGTGCACGAGCGGCAGCTCCAGGTACGTCTCAGCTATGGCTTTGTCGCGTTGTCCTTCGCGTGGGTGCTCCCAATGCACATGCCACCGCGGTGTGCCATCGTCAC